CCAGCATCATGGTGTGGCTGGGCCCTAATAATATTATCCTTCAGGGTTCAGACACATCCCTAAACCACACTTTTGTATAAGTTATGATTATAAAGTCTTTACATTAAGTAATCTAGAAAAGTACTGTATGTTTACATTATTTTCCACCCATATTTAATTATTTACAAAGTAGGTTACTGCTTTACTGGTTTTAGCATTCTCTGCTTATCTTTCCCTCCCTTGAACTCCTCACTTTGATTCATCCCTTGGTGATAGAAGCACAAGGCAGGTTTTTCTTCTTGCTGCAGAGGTTTGAAGATAACTTGCATGCATGAGACAGGTATTTTGAGTCCTTTGATGTCTAAAAATGTCTTTCTGTTGCAGTCACAACTGAATAGGATAAATAGAATTCTTTGTTTATCATCTTCCTCTTCAAAATCCTAAAGATGCAGCTCCTCCTCTCCAGGTGTTTGGTTTTGTAGAGAATTTGACACCAGTTTGTTGATGTCATTTTCTTCTCTTTTGCAGATAACTTCTCTCTGTCCACATCTTGATAGGGTCCTCCCCCACCCCGCCACTATCTTAGAAAACCTGAGATAATCAAGGGGAACATAGGTGTGGATCTCTTTCCATGAACAATAGACATCATTTTTTAAAGAAAGAACTATTTATTTATTTATTCATTCATTTATTTTAATTTGACCAGTGGGGGCCGTAAGTGAGAAAGCAAGCCACCAGGTCCAGGACTCACACTGCGGTCAGCCATGTGGGAGTGTCCAGCGCCTTAACAACTACGCCACCTGCTGGTCCCAGCAAGAAACATCTTTCTTGCTCTGGTGTCTCTGGCTGCTGCCACCGCCACCACTATGGCTATGAGGGCACAGCCTGGTAGACCAGCAGGTCGGGAATAGGAGCATCTACAGCTCCTGCTCCTGCTCCATGCACCAGGATCCACGTCACAGTCCGTGGTGCTGTAGACTCAGCAAAACCACTGATGAGACAATCCCATCTTTGTGCAACTCCTTTCTCCTCCCTTTCTCCAGCCGGACGGCTTTGTCTGACAGGGTCAGCGCCCAAAGCTATTGCACACTTCTTCCACCCTCATTTTGCTTTTTGGTTTCATTTTAAGGTACATTTTTCTGACAGCCTGCCAGTGAGTCACTCTTCATCTAGTAGCCAGATGTCATGTTCCTGTGTGTCCTTGATGGATTTGTTTCCATTTCTGTAAACTTGGGGGAATAGAGGGGGAAAAAAAATAGCCTGTCTCGTTTATAGGCTGAATGTAAAAATCAAAAGGCTAATGTACAGAAATGCACTATTTCGGGACTCCATAGTGACTCCCTACCAGATTCATGTTTCCCCTATAATCAATGACCACCATCTCGGTGGCTTACAACAACACCAATGTATTCATGTAGAAGTCTGGAGGTTAGAAGGTCAAAAAAGAGCCTTAAGGGGCTAAAATGAACTGGTCAGCAGGACTAGTTCCTTCTGGAGGCCCAAGGGGAGAACCCATTCCTTGTCTTCCCCTTCCAGAGGCTGGCGGGAGTCACTGGGC